GGAGTCATCCGGAATAGTCATTGGCTCAATCTCGATTTGACTTTGCCAAGCTAGTCCATCAGAGGTCAAGGAGTCTTAAGACGGAGTAGGAGTATGCTCGAAAGTATCAACATGAGACAAGAAGTCAAGGAAATTCCTCTCTAGCCTGTTCATGTCGAAAAACAGTAGGGATAGATTTCTTATGAGAACGAGGAGTTTGAGCTTGCACAGCTTAGAGAGCTTCATGGTCAACAACGAGAGTGGTGTTAGGGGCAGTTAGGAACAACAATAAAGGAGGTGTAAGTTGGAGCATAGCCTAGCAGCACACAAGCAGCTCAACAAAAAAGGTTATCGTTGAAAGACCATACCCTCTTCAGTTCCTCCATCTTCACAGAATGTTTTGAGATCTTCCCTTTAACAATCTCACCCACAAAAAGATTCCATGTAAGAGAAAAATATTGAACAATGCATGAAAAAAAAGGGAGAGAGACAGCCCAGTAGCATAACTTCAATTACCTGGTACGCCTTCTTCAAAGGGTTATCTTTAGGAAGGACATTCACCAGCTTTGTACTCCCAATTCCCAGAAACATAGATCATATTGTTCTCATGACCTTTATTTGAGTCTAGCAAATGGGTCACTAAGTAGCGACCCTCCTCCTGACTGCAAGATAGTAGTTGTCCCCCTGCTAGTTTAATGATATAGTAGTAAAGGACTAGGCTCAATCCTAGGAGATCATTGAGTGCTGTGACCCCCATCACTATTTTGAAAAAGTTAGGGCAGCACTGGATGGGGCAAAGCTTCAACAAGGAAAGGACCCATAGAAGAAGAGGATGAAATGGAAATCGTATACCACCCTCAGTAATGGAGCTGGTATAAATGGGGATAGATTCTTTGGTCCCAATCAAAGGTTCATCTATTCCAGCTACGCGAACTTCTACATCATCAGGGATGTTGTATTTGACTCTAAAATTTGGAATTTTTGGAGTTGTAAAAGGAGCCATTTAAGAAAGACAGCAGAAAATCCCAACAATGGAGCAAGGGGCAGAAGAAAATTTTCAGAAAATGAGAAGATTTGAAGAATGGAGGCAAATAAAAGATGCTAAGGAACCCCTTTTTAAAGGAGATGAATAACTACCAACGGAAGCAACACCTGAATACCGAAGGAGAGAGCATTAAATGGAAGGTACAATTTCAAACTAAGACAAGAGGGATGTATGGCTTAAGAAACCAGGTAATCATCAATAGTGGTATATGAAACGACCGCCAGATGTATGCAACATGGTGTATGTTTCCTAGGGGCAAGTGAAGGGGCATGATATTATGACCATGTATCTTAGTGTAATGATTTGCGCATGTAACAAGATTATGTGTGCATTTAAGATATTGATGGCTCAAAGTAGTGGCAAGACAAGACCGAGTTAATTGAGGTCAAGTCAAGAATAAATGACCATTTACTAGGCATGCTCGGTTGGTTAGGCCAAGCTTGACTAAGATTTGAACAGCTCGGGCAGTGTTAAGGTATGCTCAATTAACTAGGTCGAGAATTGTTAAGTTGTGAATAGATTGGTCCGAGTTAAGCGAAGTAATTATCGATCATTCAGAAAATTGAATGGATAAGATAAGTAAGTTGCTAAAGTAATGGCAAATCATCGTTACTGAATCCAAAACACTAGCTGATTACAGAATGTTAGAGAGATTTCGGTAAGGTATAACCAAAAGTCTGACGTAATGGGGGTATACCACCTCACATTGCAAGCAGAAGGAACCCTAAAGCAAAAAGGCTGAGGAATCTTATAAAAGGTACTGATAAGGTTCAAGAGAGGGACGCACAGTTTTCCCTATTGTGTCCTTTGTCTCTATCCGCTACTGACTTATGTATAGAAATGCCTTCGATCGGTCCACTCCGGTCCTTGGCAGTTTATTCATTTTGTAAGGGGAATTGCATAACATACACATAGTTCAACCAAAAATCAGATCCTATTGTAAGAGGTAATCTTTTTACCTCTTACATTAGTAATATTGCTTTTTCAAACCATCCCTGTTAGTTAGTTTAGTCATCTGAAAACTTTAAGAGACTAATTGTTAAAATTAAAATTAGAGGTAATTAATTGCAATATGACTTAAAATTGAACGGGGCAAATTATAATCAACCCATAATTTTAAGGGAACTCAGGTGACATGTACAAAGTGATCACTTTTAAGGTGAGATGTCCGCCTTGAACACTTTTAAGGCGAAATGTTCATAAAATACATAGTTGACAAAAATATCCTTAATAAAAGAGGTTATTTAAAAACTTCCGTCATAGCCCACCACCACCAACTCCCTACCCCCTACTCCCTACACCAACCGATGGTGAACTACACAGTAGTGTACTCAATGAAAATGAACTAAGAAGCTTAATGTGATTTGTTATATATTGTGTATTGAAGAGGAGCTAAATTTTTTAGTTCACTGTCGGGGGCAGGGTGGTGGTGTTGGTGGTGGTGGATTTCTATGTAAGAAGAGCTAGATTCACTCACGAGAAAGACAATGGCTCTTTCTTGGGTAAAGTGCAAGGCACAATGGTAAATATTGTCCTATTAAAAAAGATAAAAATTAGTTTACACCTCTCGCCTTAAAAATTCAGTTGAGTTGGACCTCACGCCTTAAAAAATACAAGCCTAGACTTATTTATATATCAAGTACCAACTTTATAGTTTTCAACAATTTTCTCTATTGTTCAAATAAAAAAAATTAATTTTCAATAATTTTAAAATTGAAAGGTCATATATGTAATAATAGGAAACTGATGTTGCTTTTTCATTTGTGTTGAGCTATGAGTGTAGATGACCAATTAAATGAGTTGTCAATTATCATTTACAGTAATCAGATTATAGTGTGTCTACTTCGTATATTAGACATGAGATTAATCAACTATGTTATTGTTTCATTGTAATTTTGTTTTTTTTTCCCTGATTCATTGTAATTTTCTTCAGTTATTTGGCTAAGACTGTAGGCTCTGATTTCAAGGACGGCTCTACGTGGAAAGCGTTACATGAGTAATTTGGGCTCTTTGTTAAAGAATGAAAGGTATTCTACAAATATAGAGATAGAACTTACGGGTGAACACCTTATTTATTTCAAATTGAGGAATGTTCTTGACCTCTGAAGCATAGACCAATATTATCAAGTTTGAACAGTATTTTGTATTGCAATATTTTCTTGTTGCAATATGTTAAAGGTAAGCTTATGGTTCCATTCTGCCATGTTAGTTTCATTTTTTTCTGCCAGATGCTATGTTATTCATCATTAGAAGTTGAGACTTCTAATTCCCTTAAATTGGAATTGTGAATTATGATTTTATTTATTGCCTAAAATGTTCCACGTGTAGTGCGCGTGTACAACAACTAGTAACTACGTAAAAAAGATTCTAATTTGTTATGAATTTATTGACTTTGTTGCTCATTTGAAATTTCTTGTTATAAATAATCACAATACCTTGTATAATCCACAAAATGGAGGAGTAAAAGTTAACCATTTGATCTTACAAATCAAACATTAGTAAAGTTGTGTCCGAGTAGGTGAAAATTTGTTCACCCCTTATGTACCATTTTGAGTCGAGTTTCAATAATCGATATGATACTCTTCTCTCTTTTTTATTAATGAGTGGACTAAATATTTCATTGCATATTGAAATAAACTCTGGCAAAACAACCTAAGTTTAGACATTTTGAATTAAAATTTTTGATTTTTTTAATATCTACAATGAAAGTTCATGTTGATTCCAAAAACTGTTCACTGTGGTGGATGACTAGAGTTGTGACTTGGCGATCGGCGGGACTATTCCTACAAGAGAAGTCGAGGAACCGGGGGATTCCAGTGGTCGATATTTCAATAATAAAGTAAAAAAAGATGCTGAGAGTAATCAATTTACTTGGATAATGCTCAGCTTGGCCTTTTTATAGGTCAAAAGATTAGACCGTTGGAAAATCCTCATCAATTATTTGAATGAGGTGACACTAAAAGTGGAACAGAAGATGACGCCTTCTAACGTGAATAACTCAACTGGCTTGAATTGATCAAACTATGTCGAACTAAGAAGTTGTCGAGTTAGAACGTTAGCGAGCAATGAGTCGAGGGCCTTTCCGAGCCATGGAGCTCCTCCTCTAAGCAACAAAGTTTCTCTGTTGAGCTTGTGCTTAATTTATCATTATCAATTTACATATTATACATGTGCATGATCTATCGCATAAATAATTGTTCACCAAATTTGTACTTCCTGGATACGAGGTGTCAGACAAACTATTCTTGTTTTGTTAAATAAAACGACTTTTTTTTGCACAAAATAATATCTATTTTGCTAATAACACATTTACAGTAAAAATTAATAAAAGATGAGCTGGATCCGCAATCCCCAAATCCCCACAATTTGGAAGTTTGGATAAAATTTTAGCAAGAAAAATGTTAAATAAATTAAAACAATTAATTTAAAAACTTGAATTCATGAATTAGGTTAATCGTTTAGTCCTTTTCCTATTCTAACTATAATTAGCTCTCTCTCTCACTCTGCGTTTCCGTCTGTATAAAACGCTTCATTTCCTCGTTTTACTCTTTCTATTCTCTCCAATCTCTCTGCATAGACACATATACATACATATATTTTCTGTCTCTATCATCATCGTCATGGCAATGAACAATGGATCATCAGCATCATCAAAAGGTCTGATCGTGAGCTTTGGTGAGATGTTGATCGACTTCGTCCCCACAGTCTCCGGTGTATCACTCGCTGAAGCACCTGGCTTTCTCAAAGCCCCAGGCGGTGCTCCGGCGAACGTGGCTATAGCCGTGACTCGGCTAGGTGGTAGAGCCGCCTTTGTCGGCAAGCTCGGCGACGACGAGTTCGGTCACATGCTCGCAGGTATACTGAAAGAGAATGGTGTTTCCGGCGATGGGATCAACTTCGACAAAGGTGCGAGGACTGCTCTGGCGTTCGTGACTCTACGTGCCGACGGTGAGCGTGAGTTCATGTTCTACAGGAACCCCAGTGCCGACATGCTGTTAACGCCGGAGGAATTAAATCTTGAGCTTATTAGATCTGTAAGTATTTGTCACAGACTATCATTTATGAATTTGGGGATAAGTCGAAAATTCTTTATACCGTATTATAAAATATAATTTATAAAAATCTACCCTCCAACTACGATGAGGACCCATCATCTAATAACCAATTTTTTTAGAGGTCATAGCCCAAATTTTGTATAACAAAAAATTAATTTAAAATTTTAATTTAATGATGTGACTATTATATTTATTATTGATTTAAATATAAATTCTAATATTTATTATGACATATTACCTATTTAATTGTAATGTTTGTTTAAGTTTGGTTTTTATGACAAAATTTTAGGCTCTATTTGAATGGCGGTAATTTTAGTTAGGAATGCTAATTTCATTCCTAAATCTATGAATTGCCAAACTGATGAGTCGATACTTTATAGCGGGAATAAAATTGCCATTGAAATCAAATTTTCAATGACGATGAGAATCTTAAATCCACCATCAAGGATAGTAATCTCATGCCCAACTTAATTGGGTATTCAAAAAAAAAAAAATCAAATTCAAAGCCTTTCAAAAATTTAGTTTATTGCTAAAGCTAAGCTATCTTTTTAAAATCATGTTTCTTCCTAAAATAAAGTTCATTGCTAAAAACAATAATGAAATAGATATTCATTCATATACTAAATTATTAACGACATTAAATACTAAATAAAATATTATTACAATTTTTTAAATTCAGGTATCAGTTTATCAAAAATGAGATGCTTAGTTTCGATTAGGATTACTATCATCCAAACGGGATGTAGTCTATTTTACATTTTTTTTTATCTTAAATACATTTAAATCACACATATTCTGTTGTGGGGCCCAAAAAATTAATTTTTTCAATTAGTCTGTGGTGCAAATTTATTTAGAATATAAAATTTGAGCTAAGACTTGGGCTGCATAGTATTTTTAATATCGTGAAGTATTTAATTATTTTGTCATAAATATATGGTAATGCCATGGAGATAGGAAACGTTGAGGGAATTTTGACTCAGTCAATCACGGTTTGCCTTCTTTCGAGGCACGACAACTATTACCCCCCCCCCCCCCCCCCAACAAAAAAAAATTATAGTTAAAGTTGTAACTGTATAAGCCTTTTTTTAATTGCTCTAAAAAATCTTAGATTGATTCTAAAATATAAAGATTAATTCTGGAATTTAGAATTATAATTGAATTGGATGTATATATATATATATCTCTGGCGTGTGTGTGTGTGCAGGTGTGTGTTTTTTTTTTTACTTTTTAAATCGATTGTTTGATATATAAAATTTGAATAAAATTTAAAAGTGTTTGATGAAATTTTTAAAAGATCTTTATTTAGATTTGTGAATTTTGGATGATTTTTCTATTTCGATTTTGTGATGTTGAATGTCTGATTGAATTATATGAAGTTCAATCCGTATTGTTTTTCTTTTGTTTCAGTGATTTCAACCGAACCTAACAAAAAAAAATTTGGTATATATATTATTTGGATTTCGATGATCCTTTTTACCAAACAACAAATGTGCCATAAAATATGTGAATGTCAAATGTAGTGATTCTCGTAATAAATAAAAAAATGGCATAATCAGTTCAATTTAGAGAACAAAAAATGTTAAATGAGTTAGATTTAGTCACTTAAAAAAGTCCTTACTTGAATTAATTGACAAAATAGGGTTTTTTTTTAATGTTAATTGACAAAATAGGTCATTAAAATAGACTTAAGAAAAATTCTCACTAAGAAGTACTACTTTATGAATTTTTAAAATTTTTTACCAAATCTTATTTTTCCTTTCAGTACCATAGTACCTTTCTAAGGACATATGTCCCTACATGAGAAAATAGTCCCTACATATGTGCCTACATAGGACATTTCTAAGGACATATGTCCCTACATACCCTTTTGACAGCGACTATGCGTTTTCTAAGGACATATGTCCCTTCAAAAGAAGTGTCGGTTTGTATTTTTTATATCTTTATTTATTTTTATAATCTCGATGTGCCACCGCTGCTACGCCACAAATACCTTCCATAATTCACTCAAAAAAATTGAAGTATCTATGCATGCTCACCATTTTATTTAATTTCCTTTTGTTAAAAGAATAAGTACCTTAAATAGTTTATTTAAATATTATTTTAATTAAAGGTATTTTGCCAAGTGCTGATTTTATGGATTTTTTATCTTAAAAATATTTAGGCAAGCCCAAAAAAATCTAAATGTGGACTTTTGGCTTGTTTTCCTTTTTTTTTTTTAATCTAATCAAAAAATAGTAAATAAACTCAAAAAATGAGTGCACCTAAAAAATTAATAAATTCTAGGAAAAATTTCAACTACACCCCTCTTAGTTTATTATATATTCAAGGACACCTTATCTGTTATCAAAAACATTACTGACACTCATTCTAGTTTATATTTAAACTTCACCAACACTCCTACCATTAAACTATCATTTCTAACCAAAAAAAAAATCATCTAAAATACAAAAAATGCCCCTACATCAACATCAAGTAATTTTTCTAGATAAAATTTTATTAAAATTCTAACTGATTAAAATTTATTTTTCTCCATATTAAAATTTGAATCAATTAAAATTCGATTAAAGCTGATTAAATTTTATTTTTTTTAACGTATTAAAATTTGAGGTTATTAAAATTTATTTTTTACATATTAAAATTTGAGTTGATTTAAACTCTACCCGAGTTATTGACGTTAATTAAATTTCGTTTTTGAGTCTATTAAAATTTATATTTTTTTACTTATTAAAATTAGTGTTAATTAAAATTTGATTTATTAAAATTTATATTTTTTTTATGTATTAAAATTTAGGCTGATTAAAATTTTAATTAGTTCAAATTTTAATACATAAAAATATAATTTTTAATCGGTTCAAATTTTAATATGTAAAAAAATAAATTTTAATTAACTTGAATCGAAATTTAATTGGCCCAAATTTTAATACGGAAAAAAAAATTACAAAAAAGAGTGAGTCTCATTGAAGATTTGTTTATCTAGAGAGGGTGTCTATAAAGTTTGTTCTCAAATATATCATGAGAAATTTAGTAAAATTGTATTATAGTTAATATTTTTAATCTGATAGGGAGTGTCAGTGAAGATTTAAAAAATAGAAGGAATGTCCTTAAAAATATAGTAAACTAGAGGGAGAGTGGTTAAAATTTTTCCTAAATTCTATCTAAAAAGTAACGTAGATATCAAAAAATAAAAAATAAGTGGAATGATACGAATTTTCCATCAGAAAACGCATAGTTGCTTCAAAAGGGTAGTAGGTGGAAATGTACTAGGGTGTCCATCCTGGCGTAATGCACCTCCGCACTTTCCAATGCCTTGAAATTGTGAAAACACCTCACTAATTGAACGAGCTGTACATGTTCTGGAGTCTTGCGTTTCTCACCGTCAATGCTACGGATTTGATCGAATATCAAAAACTGATATCCAATATAAGTTCTGGGAAACTCTATGGTACCTTCAAAAAGATTTTATATGGGTATGATCAATTATTATTTTATATGAAAAAATTATAACTTTTGGTATGTTGATGGTACTATAAAATTCCCATAAGTTTTATTGCAGTTAATCAAATTTTTGTGGACTTATTTATTTGTCATGTTTAATAAGTCTATCTGTAATTTGTATGCTATCTAAATTCTACAATCAAATCCTTTAAAAATAGGGATAAAAATCTAAAAACTAAACTCATTCCTCATGACTCCCTCGCAGAAACCATGTTCCCCAGCTATAACACCTTGGAAATCCCTTCCCTCCTTCCTCCAGTGAAATAGACAAGTAGTTGTCGTAATTCAGGTTTCTGTCAATGGTACTTTTGTCTTTTCCGTCACTTTTAACATTGAAAATTAATGGTTGGAGTTAATTGAAACACAGTGAAAAATTGAGGGGAAATTTATCTAATTTAAAACCACAAGAAGTTAATTGTAAGATAACCCAAATTTGAAGGGGGCAAATTGTAATCAACCCTTAAAAATAAACTTACTAATTAACCCAAATTTTAAGGTCAGCCATATCTAATGGTTTGTTTTATTATTTCAATGTAGGCAAAAGTCTTCCACTATGGGTCAATCAGCTTGATCGTGGAGCCATGCCGATCAGCACATTTAAAGGCTATGGAGGCGGCGAAGGATGCCGGAGCTTTGCTCTCTTACGATCCCAACCTCCGGCTACCATTGTGGCCGTCGGCCGAGGAGGCGCGTGAGCAGATAATGAGTATATGGGACAAGGCAGATGTGATCAAGGTTAGCGACGTGGAGCTAGAATTTCTCACAGGCAGTGATAAGATTGATGATGAGTCTACAATGTCATTGTGGCACCCAAATTTGAAGCTTCTCTTGGTGACCCTCGGAGAAAATGGTTGCAAATATTACACTAAGGTATTGGAGTTGCCATTAAATATTACACTACGGTTGAAAATAGATTTTTTTTTGGTTAAATAACCATTAAATTTGACATTTAGCATTGGAATTGCCAGTTCTATTGTGTTTTATGCAATGATGCCATAATATAATGATCTAAAATCATGCTTCTTGTTGCGTATTTCTTTTTTGATTGTGTATGCTAATTGTGAAATTTTAGTGCAATAGGTAGTGGTAGCCCGCAGCGTTTGAGGATCAACAGATGGTCTAATAGCCAACGCCGCCCGTTTTTGGACTATTGGACTATTAAGTCACGGGTTTGAACCTCAATGTCCCATAAATATTTTTAAAAAAAAGGTAGTGCTAGCCCCACTCCCCTCCTTGGTTTTGAAGATTTGCTGCTCCCAATATCCGAGCAACATAAAATATTCTGTGGGTTTTGTCCTTATAAATAACGTCTTAAATGCTATTTAAATTGCATGTGACTAAGTGGTTGTCTCGATAGCTTCTGATTTAGTGAAAGAGTGATTTAGGTGAGGATGTTTCACATTCCGCTTAATATGCCCGACCCAGTTGAACCCTCTGCATGACTTGAAGAACTCTGGAAGTGCCTAACTTAGAAACCAGATTAAAATTATCTGTTTATACAGTATGAATTGAACTGGATGTTCTCATAGAAAGGAAGCTTGTAAATCCTGATTTATACTAGCTAGAACTGGTTTAATAAGAAGTTTCTGTCACAAGTCAAATTCCAGTAAGTTCAGAAAACTGTTAGTCTAAATATTTTTTTTCCTTCCTTTCTAACATTTGAGAAAATTTCCCATACGTGCACAATACAGAATTTCCATGGAGGTGTGGAAGCTTTTCATGTCAAAACAGTGGATACAACCGGGGCTGGTGACTCCTTCGTTGGTGCTCTTTTATGCAAGATCGTCGATGACCAAGCCATACTGGAGGCAAGTATTAAAACTGTTATTCTTTACGTAAGTGGTCTGTCGTGTCGTGTGTTTTACTAGTCCAGCAACCTACTAATACAAGAGAGATACCAGCACCAATATTTATTTCTTCCGCTTCTTTAGGTGAAAATTTAATTACATGACTTCACGTTCCAGAAAGAAAAAGAAAATTGAGTAACATGGTTTCTTATATTTGCAGGATGAAGCAAGGTTGAGGGAAGTTCTGAGATTTGCATGTGCATGTGGAGCCATCACTACCACCAAGAAGGGAGCAATCCCTGCTCTTCCCACTGTATCAGCAGCCCACGGTCTTATTAAAGGAGAATAGAAGAATTAAAATGCTTCCCTTTGTTTTCCTTACCCTTCTTCTAAATTTAGTTTTGATTTCTCCCATTGGGATTTTGCTTGCAATTCAATTGAAGTAGGTTTCCAATCGAAATTCTTTTTTTCTCTTTTAGATCTCAACTCTCTCTCTCTCTCTGTTAGTTGCTTGTAATGATGAGAGACTATGCTTGAAGGTTTGAACAAATCAATAGTCATCATGTTTGCCAACTGATAATGCTTTAAAAACTGTAGCCATTAAAATTCATGAAATGCGGTCATTCTTGTTTTTGAATTCCTCACCACACACAGCTTCTACCAACTCGGATGGACTGCATTTTCTTTTGTTTATTATTTCTTTTTTCCCCTTGGGTCATCGCACATTATTAACTGCACTGCCGAAGGTTCTTTTCCTTTTCCCTTTCCCCTTTTGGCCATCCCACATGCTTCTTTGTTATATGATGGGGTCTCGTAGCTGTATTTCTACTTTTCATCCAGTAAAATTTTGACGTGTGTAAAGTGTTTCTGTTGTATTGTTTTTTTTTTTATTTATTATTCTTTTAATTTTTGGTTGCAAATCATCTAAACTAAAATCAGTGATTGAATTTCGGTACCCATCAATCTGATACCATAAATTACTAATGTCACCGAAAAGTATTGTTCATTTTTGAATGGCTATTGACGAGTTTTGAATCCCTGGTTCCTCCACATTCTGAAGATTCATGATATATTAACACCCAGCCGACAAAAGTTTACTTAGAGTGAAAGGAGAACTTTTGGCAAAAATTAGCCACCCCAGAAACTTTATTTCTAAATTCAATTAATTTTAAACTTAGTCTCTTTTTTTAAAAAAAAAATTTAGCGGTTAATTACGTTCGTCAAAGAAATTTATTTGTTATAAAATTTATTTTTTGTCAATTGTACCAGATTATCTCTTCCCTTTAGAAGTGAAATAAAACTAAAAATTAAAAATTATTAAATTTTAGGAGTTTAACTAATATTAAATATTTTTTCTCTCATATCTATATATTCATATGTAGGTTAGGACTATATATATATATATATATATATATATATATATATATATATATATATATATATATATATATATAGATATAATCTTGCTATAAACCATTAACGTTATCTTTCCCTTCTTGGGAAAGAACATGATAGCTTAAATATATTTTGTTAATTTATATGCAAATCTATTACTAATTTTTGCTGCTTATGTAATTTTGATTTAATTCTCTTATACTATTGCTACTCTGAACTTGTTAGGTCATTTTGTTATAATGTTTTTCTTTTATTCCTATGGGTCTGCACCAAAGTCGTGTGTACGATGTTTGGCCGTTGTTTGAGTGAAAGATTGAGGCCGTTTGTATTCCTAGTAAATTGTTGATAGCAAGAGTAGGATGTAGAAAAGAAACACAATGAGAATAATAATAGCAAAATTCATTGTACCCTATAGTAGTACTGTAGAAGAATTAAAAGACGAATTACAGTAACAACCAGAAGAAGGTAATAGAGAAACATATAAGTCAATAGAGAAACATATAAGTTATCTACCAAACATGGCATTAAGCTTATTTAAATTAAAATTTATCATAAAGATGATTATGTTAAAAATATGGAAGAAATAGAACTCTCTAATATTAAAAATAAATTACATAATTGGGATATATCCTAGTACCCCTCTAAGAAAATTTATAATTTGATACTTTTGATTTTAAATCGAGTTTAACAATTAAAACAGTTGAAAGGACTATTGATCAGAATAAAGATATTTTACAACTTTTAACTAAAAAGGAAGTCTTAAAAGTTCAAGAAAATTATAAATTTTTGCATATTGGATTAGTTCAAGTTGCTTTAAAACCATTAACTCTTCGAGGATTAAATGTCTATTTTATGTTAGCTCTAAGAGATGTTAGATGTCTTGATTTTGATCAATCTTTAATGGGTGTTATGCAATCCAACTTCAGTACTGGTCCAGTTTATTTTAACTGTCTTCCTAATCTTTCTGTATCTTTATCAGATAAAAATATTCTAGATGTTTTGACGTGTAGTATTAAAACTTACAGATATAATTATAAAGATGGAACAAATATAAATACTTTCACATATAGAGTATATTATAAAGTCATAAATACTTTGTGTACAGAAGCTAAACTCCATAACCATAAAGGACAAACAACTTTAATTGAAACAAATATGATTAAAAATAAAATTGAAGTCCCTAAAACTATTAAATTGTCAAAAATCCAGTTATCAGAAACTTGGCAATTGGAGTCCGTAGTTTCTAAAATATCATAAATAAATGAAGAAATAACTCAAATTGCCCAATTATCTCAGGGTGATGTTATGATAAAATTTTCTAGAACTAATTCTATAAATTATTTTAAATCTTTTGATAAATCAGAAACTTTATCAGTTTATTATACTCCCACTAGAAGATCTACTTCCTCGGTCCCTAATCGAATAAGAGATAAAGAACCCATAATTAAAGGAATTAAAATTTCAAAAAATATTTCACATGGAATTTATAGACAAGATAAATAAATTTTTAATGAATCTTCTCTTGAAGAAGATATTGATCCAACTCCATCTGAAATCAGATTTCAACTATAATCTTTATTGACTTACACCAAAAAGAATTTGTTGTTAATAGAAAATAAATTAATAAAGAATTTAATCTTTGTAAATATGAAGAATTTAGGAATTGGTATTTTAAAATAATGAGTCCTCAAGAACTTCAAAACTACAAAGAAATATTTTACCTTTATATAAAAAGGGAAAAAAGGGTAATACTTTTTTTTTAACTGGTTTTTAACCAATTATACTCCACTCACTATGTAATATCTAAATGTGATTGAAAAATTTCAACATAAATGAGAAACTTTGTATGTTTTTATCCCCCAACAACTGAAGCTGTAAAATTAACTTCAACTGATAAAGGAGATATTGTATTAAATGCTTGTTATACATCAAAAGAGGATGATATAGCTAAAAATATTTTCATATGGCAAAATAATTATATAAATGTTTCCTTACAAGCTGTAGGCTAATACCTAACTAAAATTGAAAATTTAATAAAAAATCAACACTCCGAAGCTTCGTCTTCCCAGTTCTTTAAAGATAATGACTTTGAACTGGTTAATATAAAGCCACCCATTGATACTTCCACATTTAACCTGCATAATAAAGTGGAAGATGAGTTCATAAATGCACTCAAACATAAATTACAAAATTATTATTAAATGCAATATCTCATACATCAAGTATAGAGCAATCGGAAATTGAAGTTCAAAAATTTGAAGATTCTTTGCACCAAATGAAGATTGAAAAACTTAATAAAATCGACCACTCTAACTCAAAAACCTAATACATATCAGCAGACACCTCCATTGAGGGCATATTATCAAAGATCTACCCCTCAAGATATTTTATATGAAGAACGATTTTTAATTGATCAAAGTGGATATGATATCTATTCTATTTATAATGGAATATTAATGGCATGTCAGAATATTTAATTTATCAAGTTCTACACAAAATCTTAATGTACGTCTCGATATGTCGGGCTAATCATAATTCATATCATAATAATGCTAAATTCATAAATGCAGGATTTATCGGCCAATTAAAAGACTGGTGAGATAATTATTTAAATCAAATTCAACGAAATGAAGTTTTAAATGCAGTAAAAATTATAACAGCCAAAGATGAGAGTATAACCACTCAAGAAGATGTCATTTATACTTTAATACAAACTATATTAAAACACTTTGTTGGAGCAAGTTTTTAAAATATTGATAAAAGCAAAGAACTGTTAATGAATTTAAGATTCCTCACCGTAACACATTTTAGATGGTATAAAGATGTATTTTTGGCAAAATTTTTATTAAGAACAAATGCTAATAATGAATTTTTGAAAAAAAATTTATATCTGGATTGTTTAGCTTATTTGCCAAAAAAAATAGGAATTTTAAAACTTGTTTTAAACTCAGAAAGTGATCCCGAAGACTTTTATAGTGATTCTTTCTCTGAAGAGGAATATAATATTAATGAAATTAGCAATTCATCCTCAGATAAAGAAAATTTAGAGCAAGATAAAACTTATTCTTCACACTATAAAGCAGAAACTAATTACTATAAAACTATTTTAGATATGAATGAATTAAGTATAAATACTTTAACTAAGTTACAAACATCAATTCTTGATCTTATAAATAAAATTCAATATTCAGATTTTAAGAAAAAAGCTATTGAACAATATTTAGAAATAAATCCAGAAGACAAAAGGCCTAATATATCTCAATCTTATTCCTTAAAAGAAGTCCTTAATAGAACAGAAATCATGATTGATAATCCCCCACATCTAAAAGGGGTTTCTCTCACTACGATACAAGATTTAAGAAAAGAGATTCATTATCTTAAAGATGACATAAAAGTCATAAAACAAAGACTTTTAGCTTTGAAAAATTACCAATTAAAGAAGATGACATAAAGGCATTAAACTTTTCCAATAATGAATATTTAAATGAATTAGAAAAAAATAACTTATTAGAAATGGCATGTTAAAATAATATTACTAATAAATTCTAAATTTACTGTTGAAACAAATACTTTAATTGACAGCGGAGCAGATATGAATTGTATGATAGTAGGATTAATTCTAATTAAATATTTTGAAAAAACTACTCAGTTAGTAAGTACTACTGATAGTTCAAAATTAAATATAAACTTTAAACTTTCTAATGTTTATATATGTAATGAAGGAATTTGTATTCCTACAACTTTTATACTTATTGATAATTTAAATCAATTAGTAATTTTGGATACATCATTTTTATCTTTAATTGAACCTATAGAAAGAATTGATTCAAAAGGGATATTGACCACTATAAATTGTCACCAGATTATGTTTGAGTTTATAACTCCACCCCAAATAAAATTGCTAAATCAAATAAAAGAAAATCTAATCTATAAAGAAAACTATTGTGATTTATTAATTTCTAACTCCTCTAAAAGTTTTATTGCAGAACATAAGCAAGGAGTTCCAGAAATGAATCCTAGCAATGATTCATTTTCTTTGATCCCTATTGCCAAATCCCTAGAACTTCTTGATTGTATTTGTGATTATGCAGGAGAAGATATTTTTAGTTTTGTCTCTACTTGGCATATTAATTCTTACTGGATTTCACTTTGGTGTCTATACTGCAAAGCTATGGAAGATCAACTAATTGATGATATCTCTATTTTC